TCGTCCCCTCTACTCATCGTGCCGTAACGCTGAGCGGACGCGAGAGGGTTGGCATTTCTACCACACCACAGGAAACCCTGATGAGTTCAGAGGTATGTTAGCGTTTGGCAAAGCGTAGATAAACTGAGCAGCTACAGTTCTCAGCTGCTGAGCCACAGCAGGAAGGACTTTCTTCTGCTCCAGTGCTCAGTCCAAGTTAATTCACATATCTTGCCCAGCCCCGGCGTCTGAAAGCAGCCAGGTAGGCATATCAAGGTAAAGCTTAACAGCTTGCAGTTCTTTTACAGAAAACAAACAATTGCGTTTCCTTGTGGTAACTTTAGGTTGCTTAAACTAGAAGAGGAGAGTGTGGGTGGGTGCGTGCGTGCGCGCGTGCGTGTGTTTACGGTTAAGAGTTGAGATTGTTTAGGGCTTCATTTGTGCAGAGGCGATCCGTGTCCACTTGCCAAGCTGGCCTCCAGCTTCACTGCTTGGTAGCAATGAGAAGCTCTGCTCCCACATCACAAACAGCGATGGTGGGCAGATTCAGACCTCCACGAAAGGATAAAAGCGGGGTCTCTGCTCCTGAGCAAGGCCCGTGTGGATGTTTGCACAACACCCAGCAGACCAACTTGAGGAAGAGTTATTAAAAACTGATCTCCTGGAGAAATAACCAGAGAGCTTACAGTTCCTCAGAAAAGAAAGAAAATGGCAAAGACGAGGCGACCCAGATGGCCCATAAGCAGACTAATTATATGAAAGACCCAGAAGCAACTCTGAAGTTACCAATCCAGCTGCCGAGAGAGTCTGCCAGGTCGCCAGATGTTGCCAATGAAAACCTCTCTTCCACAGTTCATCAGAGAAGTGGAGCAGCCTGGTGAAGTGAAACCTTTGCCAAGAAACTAAATATTTTAGCTAAAAAAAAAATACTTTCCACTAGGAAACGTGTTGAGAAATATAAAATTTTAACAACGTGCCCAACCCCATGTTACAGTAGATAAATAATGAAACATACATACAGAATGTGTTGGCAGATCTTCTTATTGATAGGAAGTATCTACGCTTAACATTATATTCCTAAGGCTACAGTCTTGGCTTGTGTTAAAGAAAGTGGTTTTATGAGGCATGGGGCTGACGGCACTCATTTGGGGTTTGGATAGTTTGCCTTGAAGCTACCAATCACTTTTGCCACCTTGAGATAAAAGGCTTAAAGACAACAAAGCTGGAGGAGCCAGAGGTGACAGTAATACGTGCTGGAAGGCAGGGAGACCGCAGAAATGACGGCGAGCCGCTCTGCGGCTAACGCGTCCCCTCTCACCGACGCCCAACGGCGAGCCGCTTTGCGCCTACCGAGTCACCTCTCCCAGAGGCCACACGGTGGAAAGCCCTGTGCCCCCCAAGACACAACAAAGAGGGGCAGCGGTCCTAGAGAGGTAACTTGCGTTTTGCTCCTGCCAAATTTTATGCACCCAGCAAAGGGGCGTCTGCAAAGGCTTCCTCTAGCGATTGGTAAAGCATCAGGGCAAGGAGCAGTACACACGTCCGTTGGCTTCAACACTGGAGGTACGGGCTAGCCATCAGATTCGTGCACAAAGGCTAGTTTTAATTTTGCTAAGAGATCAAATTAATATTTCATTTAAAATCAGGAAATCATGTATTTTAAAAAGCCTGTGTAATTTTTCAAATGCGGCTATTAACATTGCCAATCCAGTGCCTTGGAAATATTATGTCTGTTCATCCTAGAGGCCAAAAACCAAACTGCCTGTATAGTCTGTTAGCAAGGCAAAACATCTCTTTTTCCAATGAACGTGTATGGGTGCATTGGGATTCACACAAGCAGATTTGGCAGCTTTTTCAAGTATTTCTTGGACTGCAGAGCATACGCTGAACATGGGGAGCTTTTTCTGTTCAGGAATATGATGTGAATAAGAATGTGCTACTGGAGGATGAGCTATGGCATTTCTATCATAATTTAATTTGTCGAATATAGTTTACAATATTTTATAATAGTAATCAATAGGACAACGTGTCTGAAAACTGCGAGGGCTAGGGTTGCAGGATCTCGCCCAGCATGTCTTTAATAATACATAATTCCTTAAATGTGCAACTAAATCACTGAAATATATGAGCTTAATTTGGAACCTTTTACACTTTGAAAATTCATATCCCTTTTTTAATAACTGGCTACAGCATTTGCAGAACAGACCAGATTTTTCTGATTTGTTTCCTTGGCTCCTGAATGCGCTGAATGGGATGGATTCCCCAAGATGGATGTGAAAAACCAATAAACCCCAGGAATATGTCCTGTGTGGCTCTCTCCCCTGCCTGTTTACACCTCGCCTTACCCTGATGACTTAAAAGACAATCCTGCAGGAGACCTAAATGTGGCCATTTCTCCGAGTTCCTGCAACACACAGATTTATTGCTGACTGTCAGCGTTAGAAAGTATTCACATTCATTTGGGAATGTATTTCCTGAAACTGTTAACGGACTTGACAGAACGAGAGTGGGGGAGAGGGTGGGTAGTGAGAAAGAAACCTGCACGCTATAACCCGTTATTCCTTCTTCGGTAAACAAATTATAGTCTCCATTATAATCTTGATTCACAAGGAATGCCTTTGCTCCTCCAAAGATTACTTTATAGCTGCTTGGGAATACTGGATCTCCCGCGACGACTGAATATCCCAGGAAAAGCTCTAATTTTGCTGCTACCTTTATGATGGCCATGTGCTTAGCTACTTAAATTAGGTCTCCTGGTATTGTCCTGTGTTCAAAAGAAGCCACGCTGCCAGATGTGATGCCTTCAGGATAGTAAGGTAATCAGGTCTCACCATGCAGCAACAAAAAGACCCGGAGACGCTGGCCAGTTCAGTTGCCGGTGACACGCCGCCTCTCACCCTCGGGGCTCGTGGTAGGTAGGATACAAAAAAAGAAGTACGTGGTAACAGCCTGGGAGAAGATAGCTGTTTTCCCTTGCATCTGAGAATGTATTTTCCCTTGCTAACTAAGAACAGAAAATGTTACCTGCAGACGATCTGATTTTGCTGGTTTTTCTGCCTGGCAGCCAGCTCCTCGGAAGAGGTACAAGCGGTACATGCAGAGACTCTCCAAACTTTGCCCCTAACGTTCACGAGACAGCTTGTTCTTCCTGCGAGTCCTCCGTAGCTCACGTAAGATAAGAAGCTACCAGAAGACCAAGAGCTTTAAAGAAGGTTCAGGCAAATATTTTCTAAGCAGTACGACTATCCGTTCCTGTTTTCATCCGAGTGTGAAAAATCCACAAGGATGAAGAGAAAAATTAAAGTACGAAGAGAAAGCTATTAGTGGAGACACTGGGCTTGAGCCTGCCAAGGGATCTCATCAAGCAAGCCCCAAGTGTCAGCGAAACAGCGTTGGTGGAGTGAGGATACTAAACGAAATGCCACTTCAAAACGTTGAAGTGACACAGAGTGTACGTACGTGTGCACGCAAGTGCGTGCGTGTGGGGAAGGGACGCAAGAGGAAGCGAAGCCAAAGGCAGGCAAAGAGGTGCCAGAGAGGGGCAAAGAGCACGCTACATTCTGCACTGTAGGCAATTAATGGAATAATGTACACATGAATTAACTCATTAATGATTCCTGGAGTGAATCTTCGACATCATGAAGCACCACCTGACAAGCCTCTACAAGAAAAATCTGTTTAGTAAATGAAAAAAAAAAAAAACCAAACCCAACCCCACAAACAAACCCAAGTTGGTTTCAACATTTATTTGTAATTCAGTGCACAATTCATCCATCAGGAAACAAAAGTCAGGGTATATTTTTAATCAAAGCTTTTGCTGATCACAGTATAGAGTATAAGAAATTGAATTGATAGGTCATTTATTATTACGATGAAACTAAAGGCTTTATACTCTTAAGTGAAGTAAAGCAGACAGCAATACATTCATATCAGAAAGTTCCTCCCGTGAATGCAAAATGGATTAAAACTGAGATATCGTTTAGCAAGACGGAAAAAAAAAAAAATCTGTATTTCTTTTTGGTTGTGAAACTATCATAACCAGTAAGTATGAAGAATTGGCACTGGGGGAAATCATCTTGCCAGTTTGCCCTATGTGTCTGTGCTTGGCAAAGGCAGTCTGCAGGGTGTGTATTCCATTTGCACGTAATCAGATCTCTGACCTGTAACGTGTACATTCTGGAACATTAATTGGCACAATTAAAAAGTTATTTAGAGGATGAGCTTGGAGCAAAAAAATGTTGTCACATCTCAGAATCCTGAAATGCAACCTGGACTTCATAATAAGCTGGTTTAACCGTTTTTAGAGAGATGTTATGAGCGTTCGCTGGGTGGGGGGGGAAGTAACGCTCGAGCTACCCATGCAACATGCAAACCTGAGGAGTCCAGCATGTGTCAGTGCACAGCAAATTTATTCTATAAAGTGACTAGTGTGAGAAAGAATTAGAAAAGATTATAAAAATACACTACCATATGCTGTAGTAGTTGAAAGTGATTAATCCAGTTCTTAAATCCTATTTTAAACTCCCTTTCATTTCTTCCCATAGAAAAATAGAAGCCACGTTGCTTTGTTTGAACGCTACGTAGTTAATTACATCTTCTAAGAAACTCTTTTAAAACTAAATGTAATGGTTAATTACAAAATGCCTCCTTGAAAACAGTTAGCTTGTACATTCATTTGTCGTTCATTAAAAATGCTTTCTTAATTATATTTACAGCCGGAAAATACATAGAGATTAAAGAGTCTATAGAGAAATTTTGAAATCGCAGCGTGAATTGTAAGGAGAAAGTTACGCTTCAAATAGTGGACAACTGACAGCCACGACTGACTAATTGCTGCCTTTCTGTGATTTCAAAACTTAATTGTTGTAAAAATAGGAATTGGAAAAACAGAGTGTTCATTGTAACGGCTATCAATATTACATTTTTTTTTTTTTTTTTTTTAAAGAGAGTAGGTTTTCAAGGACTAATTAGAAAGCAAATCAATCGCCTCAAACAAGTGTAAAGTTCAGGGTAGCTGTCGGACCGATCACCTCAATGCACGGGGTTCACGGCTAAGGGCAGCCCGCGCTTTGGTTCGTAGGGTGTTGTCCTGGAAACCATGCGGATGCAGTCGATAACAGGGCAGACGCTGAGACACAGGGTGCAGCCCGTACAGCTGTCAGTAACCGTGGGCAGGTGGGTTTGGGGATCGAACCGGATAGCCTGCGAACAGGAATAAACATTATCGACGTCGCTGACGGAAAAGGTCACGATTACGCCCATCTTGGCGCCTGCCTTGCCTGCGCTACAGCGCTGGGGGACGTCTTGGTGTGCTTCTGCGCTGCAGCTATAGCAACTGTTCGACTGGCAGGGAACAAAACGACACTTCAAAATTAGAAATACGGGCCAAATTACACCTCGGAGAAAGCTCTTGGGTCACAAGGGCTGGGTACAAAGGGAGGAATTTGGCCCACGATGTTTCGGCTCGCAGAGGGCTATTTCTCCTTTGCGTGAAGGAAATATTTCCTCAGACAGCAATTTGCCGGGGTTATTGGTTCAGAGGAGATGCCGGACCGTGCCTCTACGGCTTTGGCACGACGCTGCCCACGGCGCGTTCGTTTGACTTTTATTTCCAGCACAGCGTAAACAATCTAATTTAATAAATAGCAGAGAAAAAGAGAGCACGCTGTGCCTCGTGTGATTATTTTCCTTTGCCAATCTTCGGAAGGGATATCTGAGTTTTGGGCAGGCAGAGCTCGCTTTTAGTTCTCACATTTCCATGCGGTGAATCCTCATAACCAATTAGGGCGATAAGTGTATTTGAACGTGAAATAACAAATGCGGTCTCAATGAAATAAGCTCCCGGTATAATGGAAATGGCAATTAGAAGCGAAAACAAAAGCAGCGCACAACCGCAAAAGCTTCAATATCTAAGCGAGCCTAGAAAAGTAAAAAAATAAAAAAAACCCACCCCACTGAGTATCTACTTTTAAGAGTTTTAGGAAGGACAAAAATCAGGCCTGAAAGCTGAACTCTCGCTTCTCTGCGAACAAGCGGTGCCTCAGCAAATCTCCCGAACCGCTGCCAGCAACTGGGGGAGCCGGGGAGGAGCTGGGTGGGTGCTCCAGGTTGGCCCCAGAGGCACATTTGGGGCACTTGGGGTTTCGCCACCGGGAAAGCACAGAAGCTGCTGTAGCAACCAGCCAGGGCATGAAGCAGGGACTGACTGCCCTGAATCGACGAGTTCTGCTTCAGCTTGAGCACAAAGGGAGCTTTGGTTTGTGAGTAGTTAAGAAGGCCTCCTTCCTCTCTCCCTAACAGCAATGCACTTCTTGAAAGGGAGTTCAAAGAGGGAGAGGACGTCGGGACGACAGCGCTAACTTTAAATGAAGGCAAGCTTTTCTGCTGGAGTCACACAAGGCGATAGCTCTGTAGAGCAGCATGGATATTCTTGAAACAGAGAAGCATAGAGCAGATGCTATTTTGAAGGGGTGTGTGTGATTTCTTTGCAATTAAGAATTTCTTTGCGATTCTTCGCAGTTAATTTCTTTTCAATTTCCTTAATTAATTAAGGAAAAAATCATTTTTTTTGTGCTTAGAAAACCTCCTGGGGTTTTAAACGTTGGTTCTTTTGGTGCCGATTTTTTTTTCCAGTTACAGAAACAAAAGTTTTAATAAATATAAACAGTCGTTTGCTCTCCGAGGGCTATATCCTCCCCTTCACTGGGAAATCCGATGGAAGGAGAAGAGGTGAAGATTGCAGTGTCAAGAAGAAATTTAGACAGTTAAAAGGCTACTGTAGTAATCTAATCTGGTACAAATACAGCATTAATTTTCTCATATCAGTGGAAAAAAAACCTGTCTACCTTTGCTCTGACACACTTGTTTTAATTGCAGGAGTTGATTTTAAATGGGAAGACTTCTTTCTTCGACTGTATGTAGTTAAATTCATCAGACCTACTATTGATCAGACTGAATTTAGTATAAACAAAAGGTCATGGTGTTCAGAGGGAACTTGGGGCTCAGTTAAAGTATTTGTTTCTGACAAACTATTCTCGGACGGGGATGAATGGAAAAATTCATGTAGAGATTATTGCTTACTGCACACTGGATTCCATGCAGGTTATGCTAGACCGTATTTTGGTTTTCTAAAAAACATGAGTCCGCCTGTACTGCCCTTTTTACTGCAGACCAGTCCACCAGCTCCAGCCGACATGGCAAGGAATGGCACGTGGCAATGCTGCTACATTTCATACAACGCACGTTACCGTACTGAGCAGAAATCAGAGAAATACTTTGCTGCAAACAGGAGCCCCAGCTCAAAATTGTGCTATTTTCTGGTCACGATGATTTCTGCAAACCTCAACCCGCTGCTCTAAACCCTGGCAGCTATCCTGGAGAAAGGATTTGTACCTCAGTCAAGATCAAAACAAAACCCCACCTGCCTGAAACCCGAATTAGTTCAAGTTCAGTTACGCTGATGGAACAAGGACTAGGATTCTTAAAGAGCTTTTGGCAATAAGAACAGCTCTTGTCTCCCCGCGCCCCGCTGGTGGGAAGGGATGCGTTCTTCCCTTTCTCCCTCAGGTACTTGAAAACCATCAAAGAACTACATTTACTGCCATCCGACTTGGGTCTTCCTCATTTTCTTCCTCCTCAGAAGAACCCCATTTCCCACCTGCAGTTAGGGAGAGACTGGGAGAGCAACCTAGAGCGAGCCAGCGAGACACGGTGCACGCTGCCCAGAAGACGCCGTGCCGGGCGGCGTTCTCTCCGCCGCACAAACAGCTCAGGCAAGGATCGCGCGGCGTAGCCTGGGAGCACGCCGGGGTTCGAATCCAATATTTTAGACATCTGTTTTTACCACCTGCTCATTAACAGAAGGTGGATTCTTTCTTCCTAGCAGCAGAAAGATAACTCATCGTGCCTTTCTGCTAATTACAGCTGTGCTCTTACCTGGTAGCCAGAATCATTACAGGTCATGTAACATTTGCCACAGTTGATGCACATTTCCTCGTCAATCAGAGCCACAACTTGCTCGGTGTTGCAGAGCTCACCATATGTTCCAATATACTGCAGTGCTTTTCCAATTACATCCTAGGGAAAAAAAAAAAAAAAGTTATCGACTCATTTAGAAGATACCTAAGCAGTTTCTATAGCTGTGCGGGAGCACTCTCTAGTACTTTGATATGGAAGAGCTGGCCATGCATTGTGATGATGCGTAGGATTTTTCTTATAAATTTCCAAGTTGCTGACCTTCCTACTTCCTGTAAAATACGAAGAATGCTCCATACAGGCACATTTTGAATGTAGGCAGCGCTAGAAGTATATATTTGTATACAAACACGTTCTACAAATAGGTTACACATTTAGTACTTGATTTTGAATGTGCTATTGTTTTGCCATTATTGTGTGAAACTTCAAGGAACAAAATGGAGCACAAAAGAGGAGTGACATGCCACAACGATCAGATCACCCTTGGTCATTTCTCATTAGCACAGATTTAAGAACCCACAGCAAGAAAAGAAAGGGGCACGATCAAATGAACTGACAGAGAGAACAGTAGCTGCTTTTCTCTCTTTAGTAGAATGCGCAAATGACATGACCACCAGTTTATTGCAAATATTGTACAGAAAGTAAGCTGTGGGTCTAATCCTGCAAGTCTTGATTCGGTTCTGTCAACTTCACAGGGAGGAATTTGTGGCATCAACCTTACACATCGGTGCTGCAGAAGTAAAGGAGTACGGCAGGACAGTGTATGGGTACATACCACAAGAGGAAGACATACCCTCTAGAAGAAGTTGCTGGGGACCTACCTGGTGCAAACCATCTCCCCTTTACATCAAGGGAATCTGCACAGTCCAGTGGCCGTTCAGCTTCACTGAGTCAATGGTAGAGATGGGACAAGTCCCAGGTCCTTTGGGCTACAGCTTTCCCTCAGTTAAATTAGTTTAACTTGTGGAAGTATAGCACAGATGATGAACATGACTGCATTTTAAAAAATTCGCTCTGTGGCACCGTATTGATTGCCTGGATGTTTTGTGTGTTTACTAAGCACGCTGCTACAACAGTTCCCATGTTGCAAAACAAGCTCGATTTTATGTGCAAGATTCTACATTGTTAAGATAAAGTTGGGCTCAGCAAATGAAGGTTATGTGATGCAACAATACATTGTACTTTTGCTTTAAAAAGGGGTATAACTTTTAAGTATTAGAGAAATCTCACTGAGTGATAGGAGAGCAGAACTGGCCTCAAAGCCATTCTACTCTAATAGACCAAGAAGTCCTTATGATTTTGATTATGGAATTTGATCCAAGTCAATTGAAAAATGCTCAAGATCAAGCCAAATACGAGACACAGACAAGTCTGCCCAGAATTATAAGCTTCAAAGTGTTTACCTTTGGTCTTGCATCACCAAGAAACATGATAAGGGTTTCTTTTTGTGTTCTGTTTCTCAGCATTTTTTGAAGAAGCAGTACTTACCTTATTCCTATCAGTCAAAAAAATTATTCTGAAATGATTAGCAACCATTTGAAGTGTGTAGAAGTACGCTATATTTAACCTATATAATTTATAATTGCATACAATGCTCCATATATTGTTTTCAATTCTCATTGTAGAAGAACAGGATTACGGTAACTTAAATTTTACCTTATTTTGGGCAGCCTTACTTTCAAACTAACTAAGCATCCCTAATTACTCCTACACCACATCAGAGCAATAGGGTAGTACGGCTTCATCAATTTTAGCTCTAAAGGAAAGCTCTGCTACATGAATTAAATGCAAAAATGGGTCCAACCTTGTCTTCCTGAGTCTGCTGAGAACTTGCAACAACAGCTCTACGTCGTGAATGAATGACTCCCGTTCATCTCAGTGAAGTTTTAACTTCAAGGCCCACCTGGCCTTCAGCACTTAAATTACAACAGGATCTTTATGCAATGAGACAAATTTCTTTGTTTGCTGGATGCAGTGGCAGGATCTATGAAGTTGCTCTTAATGGCTGTTGAGGTAGGAAATTCAACCACATCCTGCGCCCAGGAAGAAGGGCAGGGAAATTGTACTGTTTTCTTGTTCCAAAAACACTCAAATGTTTTCTTTCTGCCAAACCCCTATGTTGCTGACATGTGAAATACCTTGGTTTCATTCATTCAATGCTAAAAGCCTTCCAGTTCTTCTCAGCAACATGTAAAGAACATTAATGCCCTTCCAGCATAAACCAGCTATGGCACATTGCTAAAGGCAGCATGATGAGTGTGGACAGATGACTGTAAGCGAGCAAGTTATCACAGCTTAATGAGTTAGCACTCATCAGTAGAGCTGTGCAAGCTGATTATGTGCATGGTCCAAATTCACTGCAAATTTGAAGTAAAATCTGTTTGCTTAAACCACTGTAAAAGGTCAATTAGCTACTATGAAAGTGCTTCAGCTAATACTTTTCACCGTGGTATTACAAAAGGCTAGACTGGAACACTCAGCCCTTTACCGTGCCTCCACCGAGGAGCTACAGTAACTAAATCAAATGTGATCTCTCAGGAACTGCTCACACCCCTGTTTTCATTTCCATGTCTTCATGGATTTCCTGGGAATTGCTCAGCAGTTTTCGGGTGGCTACATCTCACGTTTCTGCAGTCTTCTGTTAACAGTTGAAAAACGGTAGTTGCAGAATTTAGCTCCAGCTGGTTTCAAGTCTCATGCAGGCTTATCTGTATCATACCTGCTACAGGTTTCAAAATACACGTGTATTTGTGTGATCTGCTGCCCCCGGCAATACAAACTATCCTATAAGTCTCCCTTTTGTGTCTATAGCCCCAAACATTCTGCTGTATGTCACAAATGCATGTGTCGTCTGCAAGTACTGGTCTGTCTCCTGAAGAATTTGAAGAAATGATGTAAGACCTGTACAACACACAGTGAAGGAGCTTTCTGCTGCCTGCTTGTGTTGTAGACGTATCAACATGGGGAGATTCCTGAGAGTGAAGGGCTTTTTAATCTAACAAAAGCAGACATTTAAACAGCACAGGTAAGTAACAATTTTCTCAGGGAGGTTCTGGATTCCCATTTGTGTTCTTTAAATATCGTATGGATGTTAACAAAGCCCACAAAGCTCAAGCAGGCTGCAGAGATGGGCGACTCAAATAATCATGGGATAGAGGGCCTTTCTTATGAGGGAGGACAAAAAGAGCCTAACAAGATGTTTAGCCTAGGAAGATGAAGGCAGAGCAGGAATATGATGTCTCTTTATATATACATCAGGGAGGAAAAAGAGCTATTTAAGTTAAATGACAATGCTGGCACAAGAACATGTGATTATAAGCCAGCCATGAATAAATTTAAAGCTGGAAATTAGAAAAGGCTTTCTAAATGGGAAAGGAGTGAGGTGGTTAATGGCCTTCCAGAGAAGCAGCTGGGGGACAGGAGGGAGACAGTCCAAGGTTTAGGATAGCATTAGATAGCTCAGGAAATGGTTGCTTAGAAGAACATGATGAAAACAGATTTTTCGAGCTACAAACTTACAAAGGGAATAACAAAAACAATGCACATGGCATGGTGATTTCTGAATTTGTAACCAAGTCTCACTTCTCACAGCTCACAAAATACACTTTTGGGGACTCAGAATCCCAAATAGGAAGGATGATGGCATTTTAGAGGCCTCAAAGTGATTTCAAAAGACTGTGTCAATGATTTACTGCTCATTTACACTCCTGGGTGTTGTGCCTTTTAATCACTCCTTTCTCTCAAGCAAAAACTGTATCTTTATTCATTTGCAAAGTTTCAAGACTTTATTGACTGAAAAAGCAACGGTACTTAAAAGATGTTTTGCAGGTGCACTCTTTTACAGCATCTCAAGCTATCTCGGAGCTTCTTGTTTCCATCAAATCATAAACATTTGGAACAAAATAAACAGTGCAGCAAGAAATAATCAGCTTTCACTGTTTAAAGTGCAGTTTCACTCCAAAAAGCAACTGCCTAAAATGGCACTATGGGATTCCACACTTGGTATATCTCAATGGCCTCCGGATCAAATTTGCACTGTTTACAGTATAATGGGTTTTTTGCCAACTGCCAGACCTGCAAACAGAAGCCAGGTTCTGAAAGTCAAGCTGTGTTCTTTCTGGCTTATGCATTACCAGCAGCAATTAAAAAAAAGAAAATAAGCTGGAAGTTAAATTTTGCCCTACGTTACACCTTTGCAATCGCAGGGACCTAGAGTCCTCCTTTCGATTACTGCTGTGCTGTCCCACTCTTTTCAACAAAACTGTACTGAACAAACTGGGAGAGGAATTTAGTCCTGCAACTGGAACTGGCAGGGAATTCAGTTGCTATGGAGAGAATCAGAGCAGAATCCATTAGTTTTATGTTACTAATGAGTACAGAAAAAAAATTCATTTTGTCACTAAGCTCAGCAGATGTGGGTTTGAGTACACACAAGGAGCAGATCTGTTCAGTAGGATATTATTTTTACAATGCTATTTTTATTACTATAGCTGCATTTTTAATGTTAATATAGCAAACATTTTATGGTGATTAGCTTTTCATTAGCTATCATATTAGTAAACCTATATTTGTAAATACAATTCATCGTTCAGGTACAGCTCCTTGCAGACCTGCTGTGTCCATCTTCATGCAGCCCACGCTGTAAAAGACCACACTGTGCTCTACAGATGATGAACATCACAGGCCTCTCATTAGATCATTAGGAAGCCCTACACAGTGCAGGTACTGCATCTCATCTAGCAAGTTCGAAGGGAACACACATGCTTGTCTTCTCATTGCACTTTTTGAGTCACCATAAAACACTTTGCAATGTCACACCGTGTTCAGGAGAAGGGTTCACTGACTAGGAACCTTGTGCACTTGAAGCTGACAGCAACAGCAGGTAAGGAAAGCAAGGTAATCTTTAGATTACCGGAAGTAGAGGTCTGCACATTGTGAATAGCGTCTGTCCTAAGGACAGGTCTCAACCTCAGTCTTCAGGTCTCCGAGGGATCATTGACCATGATGTGAACGCTGAAGTCAACGCACCACCAAGTAATACAAAAAACTCCTAACAAAGCATCTGACATTTATACAGCAAAGTGGTGCGCTTGATCCCAAGT